TGGCTCATAGAATACCATTTATCTGCTTACATGATTTCACATGATGAAATCTTCTAATATAATACATTGTATTCAGGGGCATTTCAATTTTAAAAAATAGACAAAACAAGCAACAACAAATTCCAATCCATTATAATCACTGCCATTATAATTACTTAAAAGAGGGGTCATCCTGTCACACTGTAGGTGTAGAGCAGCACCTGCTACCTGCCCCCCCGGGGCTCAGCCCAGCGTTGTTTTGTTGGTTTATTGGGCACCTGTTTTCCAACTGCAGCTCAAAGAGCAACCACGTTTCCCCAGCTCTCTGCTTGTCCTCCTTTGCAGGTCCTATTTGAGCAACTGTGCATGAATCTCTCTGCATTTTGGCAACTGAAAGCATCTATTTTTTCTTCCTCCTGCTCCCTGAAGACTTGGGGTGCTGAGAGAGTCCCTCAGTTGGAGTGTGGGCACCGCCTCTCTGACTGCAGCATCGGCAGGCTTGCCTATCACATGGGGATGGTTTTCTGGGGGCCCTTGCCCATCCCTGATGCTAAGGAGCCAGCTGCACTGAGTGTTTACAGTAGTCCCTCCAGCCAGCTGGATCTGGGCTCAACCCAGGTTCAAGTAGTAAGACTCTCTCCCTCTCTTGCCACACTTCTTTCTGGGGTCTATGTCATCAAGTACAAGGTAAATTAAAAAGGTACTTAGTCTGAAAAAATCAGAAGTAAAACTAGGGAGTAGGAAACCACAATAGCGAGCGGAAGCCTGTCTTCACAGGGTTGACGCAGTCAGTCCACTCACTCAGGAGAACCCCCCATGGGAGACGAGCACAGTCATCAGACAGGCACCCTAAGAAAAACCAAAACTAAACCACCATAAAGATTATCTGCAGTTAAATAAGAATCAGCTTAGCAATGCTGACTGAAGCAATCACATCTCCAAGTGCTGAGAGGAAACCACTTGGAACCTGGAATGCCAGCTTACCCACGAGCATGCTCACGTGATGACAGCGATGTGCCAACCCCAGGCGGACTGAACCTCACTCAGCTGATCAGCTCTGCAGAAGAGAAATAATCCCAGAGGAATTAACTGTGAGAAAAGACATGCAGCTAAACCTACATAAATATGCTATAATATGTTCTGACAGCAAGCTGAACTTAAGATTTCAGAGTGTTGGTGGCAGTGAGAAAAAGTGGTAAAAAATGTTAAATTTCTGATTTGTTCAGGAAGAAAACAAAACATAGATTAACTTTAGATCTTACAAGTAAAAATACGCTTCTCTGGGAAATTTAAGGCTAACAAGATAAACCTATAGAAGAAAATCATGGAATACATAAAATGTAATAATTTCAACACAGAGCACAAAAGGGGGAAATAAAAAATAGAAAACACAAAATAGAGTGGTAGAAATAAGAGCAAGCCTATCTGTAATAATAATAAATATGAATGGATCTAACTCAGAGACTATTGATTTGCGTTTTTGAAAAGAGAGCTACATATAAAACACAGAAACTTGAAATTAAGATAGTAAAGACTCATTGTTATAGCATTGTTAAAATCTGACAGAAACAACCACTTTGTTTGGAATTCTAAAAGTAAAGACAGTATCATCTTGCTGAAATGTGCCTTTTAATATGTGACATCATCAATTGGTATACCCATGACTAAAACAAAATTGCAAGGAGGAATTGTCATATTTATAAATAGAAACTTTAAATAGAGCTCTCCCCTTAAAACTTACAGTTCAGGTAGGTAGAGAGAAGAATAGCATGATTAATTAGCATCCATATACATGTATTCCTTGACATCAGCATATAAATTAGTCTTTTCAAACACACATGAAATATTTGCCACAGATCATGCCAAAAAAGAAAACTCAACCAATCTCAAAGACCATCACAGACCAAATTCACTTGCCACAACCCAATAAAAGTAGAAGTCAAAAATGAGATTGTTAAAGCCCCATACATCTGGGTTTTAAAAATAAGTAATTACTCAAAAGTGAAATACAGTATAAACTACAAAACATTTAGAACTGACTGAAAAGGAAGGCACTGTGTACCACAATTGGAGGGAGGTAACCACCGTGAAACTTAAGAGGAATATTCATACCTTCAAATGCATTTATAAAAAACACAACTAACAAAGCTTACAAATCAGGAAGCTGTAGGAACACCACCACAAGCTGAAATGATTACAACTAAAGCAGAAAACAATGACGTAGACCAATGTTGCCAATATGAAAGGCTCAAATGCTACTGTGAATTTAGAAGTGGGGTGTAACCTCAGATATAGGAGAATACTGTAAACACAGTGGATCTGGGGGTGGGCCCAAGAATCTCTTTTCTGAGACATTTCCAGGTGATGTTGCAGCAGCCAGTCCTATGTGAACACTTCGAGAGCCACTGCTATCAACCAATTCATAACAATGATGAAAACCTACTTGAAATAGACATTATGATGACCATATCTGAGACAAAAAGAACTAGGAGACCCAACTGGATTAAGAAAACCATGAAATTAATTTAAATCAGAATGCTACTCATTACCCCAATATGCACCAGGCCCAAAATATTTTTGTGAAAGAGGTCATTCTCATTTTACATAAAATGCCTAGAGTATGGAAAAAGAGAAAAATACCCCAATTTTATCAGTTCATTAGTTTAATACAGAAATAGCAGAAACAAAATTAAATGCCTCTATCACACACTAACAATAAATTATCTGAAACAGTAGTAAAGTTATCCCATTTACAGTAACATAAATAACAATAAAATACGTAAGAATAAATTTAACCAGGGAGGTAAAAGAGCTCTATTCTGAAATCCATGAGATATTAATGAAAGAAAACAAAGACATGGTAAAATCAAAAGGTATCTTGTGCTCTTTTTAATTATTAATTAGAAGAACTAATAATACTACCCAACACCATCTACCTATAGATTCAGTGCAGTCCCTATCAAGATTCCATTGGCATTTTTTACAGCTGAAAAAAACAAAACAATCCTAATATTTGTATGGAACCACAAAAAACCCCAACAGCCAAAGCAATCCTGAAAAAAAGAGCAAAGCAGCAAGCATCACACTTCTGATTTCAAGTTACAGTAGTAATCAAAACCAGGTGGCGCCGAAACCGGTTTGGCTCAGTGGATAGAGCATCGGCCTGCGGACTGAAAGGTCCCAGGTTCGATTCCGGTCAAGGGCATGTACCTGGGTTGCGGGCACATCTCCGGTGGGAGATGTGCAGGAGGCGGCTGATCGATGTTTCTCTCTCATGGATGTTTCTAACTATCTCTCTCCCTTCCTCTCTGTAAAAAATCAATAAAATATATTTTTTAAAAAAACCAGGTGGCATAAAAACACACACATAGACCAATGGAACAGAACAGAATCAAGAGCCCAAAAATAAACCTGGAGCAAGTCCTAGGGCCCTGCAATCTTGACTAAGTAATAACCAACCACCCGGTTCTCTCGTGCTAGCCCTGGAGTAAGTACCTTGCCTGCCACGCGAGCCCTCTTCTGAGTCTCAGCCGGCAGTACCCCTGAGCGTCTCTCCCTCTCTGATCCCCCAGGAGCATTCATACCCCACTGTAACGAGGAGGGCTACTACAAAGCCACGCAATGCCACGGCAGCACGGGCCAGTGCTGGTGTGTAGACAAGTATGGGAATGAGCTGGCTGGCTCCAGGAAGCAGGGCGCTGTGAGCTGCGGTGAGTATCAGCCCACAGTGATCTCTGGTACCCGTCGGTCCTTGCTGTGTTAGGATCTGAGTAGAAAGATTTCGACAGGCGGCTGGTCTACAGTGAGCGGCATTATCTGTGAAGTTAGTCTCGGGTGGGAAATGGACAAGCTTGATGTAGCGAACCCCTTAGGCCCAATAGACATGAGCATAGCCAGGACCTGGACTCAGGGAGACAGAACAACCCTGAAATTGCATGAGACTGTGCATAGGTTGTTGTCTGAGTGGCCGGTACTCACTGTGGCCCCTGGGCTGGAGAACAGTTTTTGACAGTCAGGACCCGTTGCCGGCCAAGAACAACGTAGGTTGCCTTCACTTCTCAATCAGGATCATGAACCTCCCGAGAAGGTAGCAGCATCTCGGGAATTCCGGGCTCCCACAGAACAAAGCTGGGGTCTGTGCTGTGTGGATCAGCCCCAGCTGGGCAGGGATGCTCCACGTTGGAAAGGGAAGTGCCTGGGTCAGCCCTACAGTGAAGGCAGGTGCAGGGCGCCCCTGGCATGGCCATGAGTTCAGCAGAAACTCACCTCAGCCTCTCCTCCTTCCACATGAGCAGAAGAGGAGCAGGAGACCTCGGGAGACTTCGGCAGCGGCGGCTCCGTGGTCCTGCTGGACGACCTGGAGGACGCGCGGGAGCTGGGACCGAAGGACAAGCTGGGGAGGCTGCGGGCGCACACCCGGGCGACAGAGGACGACGAGGACGAGGACGATGACAAGGAGGACGAGGTCGGCTACATATGGTAGTGCCCACGGGGAAGAGGACACGGCCGGCACAGACTGCAAGTCACTTCCTGTTCCTGCATTTGTATCTAAGACTCCGTGGCACCAAGGTCTCTCCTCCCTGCTGCTCTCCAGCCGACCTCCGATCCGGACGACTCCTGTTCCCAGAGCTTTCTGATTGCGTGCACGGCTGTGTGGGAAGGAAGGTATTGTTTGTGTTTAGACGGGCCTGGATGCTAACTGAGAGCCTCCTTCCCTCCCATGAGACTTGTCCAACGAGCATGTGATTGACGTGGGATTCTGACGGTGCAGGGAGCCCTGCCCTCTCAACATCAAGACCCTTTCTGACTCCCCACACCAGTGGTTGTACAGCATGGTTCCCGCCTTACGGTGTCTAAGTGCTTTTCTTATGTCTCGTAGATGTCGTGGAAAATACACCACACTGTCCTTTATTCCCCTGCGCCCGCCGACCCTGCTGTTTGTTGCTAAAAATTAATTACTCCCATCACTGTATCTGGCTTCCTACAAACAACGGCCTTAATTCAGTCAAGAATCCTTTTGGGCAACTGGTTTTCTTTATTTAAAAATGGTGTCTGGACGCTTCTCTCTGTGTGTGTGTAAATATATACACATGGACAGAGAGACCGTAAGCCAGGCTCACACCCACTCAGAAAACTGTTTGGCTGTCTATTAAAAATGCATTTGAAAACAATGACCAATTTGTCAGCCTGTCCAACCTGGATCACAATTCCAGAATAAAGTGTCTCCAAGTCCGTGTTTGCACTGACACTTGGCACTGGCAGCTGCAGGGGGAGGAGGTTCCTTCCCGGAGCCTCTTGAACTTGGATGGGTCTCTGTCTGCCGAAATCACTTGTCCTGCACAAGCCATGCGGCTCCATGTGGGCAGCTTCACAAGCCATCTCTCTCATTCCACCCAAAGCCCTGGGTGCAGCATCCTGTCTGCCCAGGGCCCCGCCTCCCCTGCCTACCAAGGGCTTTTCTCAGGCATGTCCACATGCCCCCGCTCGCCGACAGACAGTACACGTAATTCTTAGAAGAAAATTTGGGATTCTGAACTCCAGGTTTAGCTTTTGCCCCCAATTCCATCCACAAATCATGATGAGAGACACAGCAGTACAGGATCCCCGCCCCCCTCCCCCAGAGGCCTAGAAAGAGCTTCAGAGCAGCACATGGAAGTGAGGGTTGGACTTTTCGAGCGAGTCCTGTCTCCACAACCCTCACCCACATCAGTGTCAAGGTCCTAATGAAGAAAGCCCTTCACCATCTGTGCTTCTTACGCATCCCCACCCCCGCCCCCGCCGGGCTGGCCCAGACTCCAGGATGAGTACCAAAGAGCAGTCTTAGACGTGGCCCATGTAGTTCCGTGCAGGCCCTTCAGCACCTATCCACCTGGCTGCCCCGCCAGCCACCCAGCAAGGCTCTCTACTCCACATTGTTTTTCTTCCCTTCCCCATAAGCTCCAGCTAGTCCACAAAAAGACATAAACTCAGGCAAAAAAATGTATTCAGCCAAACCATGATCGCAGTGGCAGCTGACCAACTGTCCACCCCCAAATGCCCATTTCTTTGTACTTTTCCCACCCACCTCAACTAGCCTTTTCCAACCTGGACAAAGTGGCATTAGTCTCAGATGGGAAGTGAACAATCCTGAGGTAGCGAATCCCTTAGGCCTGACAGATGCAATGATAGCCAGGATCCTAGGTCCTAGATGTAGGGAGGCTACACACAAGCTTGGTATTCAGATCTTAACTCCATCACCTCCCTGTCAATATTATTTTCCTAACTTGCACAAAACTTTGAGATCATAATATAGAAAATGGGTGTTTAATTGCAGCTAAATTACAAGAGAGTATGTAAAGGAAGACATTTAAAGAAATCTCAGTTTAGACCCTCAAAGAAAACCATTGTTACTGTCTCCTCCGAGTTTGGGACAATGCACGAGAGAAAAAATTAAAATCAACAAATTGATTTCCCTTAGAGGAACTAATTATCTATGACAAGTGTCAAATTAAAGATGACACTTAAAGCTCCTTGACATTAACTTAATGATGGAGAAGAGTGCTCAGGAGTCAGTTCCCAGGAAGGTGCTGAGATGCTCATTTTCAGAGGCATTCCAAGAAGATATTTGATTCATTAAAATATGAAATAAGAAGCCCTCCTACCAGGAGAGCCCCAGGACAGCGGAGCCCCATTAGCACCACTTCTCGTGCCTCACGTTGGCATGGCAGCGTTACATTCTTTAAAATATTTAATGATTTTTACTTGTGAAAAGCACTGAAGATTAGATTTTTTAGTTACGTTAGCCTTAGAAGGAGAAGTGTTGCATCCTTTCTTTGGCAGGAGTCCTTTAGCTAATGACAAGGTATCCATAAAAATTATTATAAAAATACTTCTGTGATCATCTAGTCTCTTGTTTGAGATAGGCATTGAATCCTCACTCATTTTTGGAAACTTCTTTGTTAATAGTGTTTTCTTATTCCATAAATACTTCTCTTATTTAATACCATTTCCTTAGCATCCAACTTAAATTCCAGAATTTTCTCCCATCACGCTGAGGTGTCTGCCACATCGATGTCTTTTTGTTTCCACAGATATTCTAGGCATGGAAACCCCTTCATACAGAATGTGAGGTTTTGGATCAGTTTCCCCTCTTTAGGCCCATTCCCCAGGCCCAGCAGGGAATGACCATGCCTTGCCCAGGTCTGCCCTCTGCCTCTCCCAGGATTCCATTCTTTTGTTTTTACGTTGGCCACGCTGTACAGTAACATCCCAGAGCCCTTTCTACAGTGAGTGGTTTTGGTCTTTTTATACCTTTTTCTCAAAGTCGCTGATGTGTGTCCCTGTTCAGTGTGTAGCATTGTAATGAAAGCCACCAAATCCCAAGTGTCAGTTTGCTGTCCCTCTTGTAGGTGAAATAGTGATGTAGAAAACTAGTAAATTCTGAATGCTTTTCGACGTAGACTTATCTGGAATGTGAACATGACTCTTTGGTTAATAGTAACTGCTTAACTGTAGTCCCGAGTAGGTGCATTTCTGTCTGTCTCAGTAAATTTTAATTTGTCTGCAACATCTGTGTGTGTGTGCTCTGTTAGCTTGGATGTGAACTCGCAGCGTGTCCACACGGGATCTCTGGGAAGTATGGGCGGACAGGGGAGCCAATGCAGGCCCCTCTGTCCCAGCTTCTGGACAGGGAGGGAGGAGGACCTGCTGGTGGTCCTATCTGGCCTGCCCCTCTCAGCGCACCTGGCACCTCCAGCCCTGGCCCGCGGACTGCTGGCGGTCCATGAGATCCGAAAGGTTGGCGACTGCTGGTCTAAACTACATCGCCTGCCCCTCCTTCTTGCTGCTTTCACCTCTCTCGGGCTTCAACTTTGCTACTTAGTCCTTACCTATGACATTTCACTGTTGTTGTCCTGCTTATGACTTTAAACTTTTTCTGCCTCCTCCTTCCTTTTTCTGTCATTCTCCAATTCTCCTAAAAAAAAAAAAAAATCCTCTCTCCCCTTTCCAGGGACACTGAGCTCTGAGCGCTCCTGAGTTCATGGATTAACACGAGATGCTTGTTAAAGCACCCAGGCGGAACAGAATTCTTTCCTCTCCCCCTTTATGCACATTAAGGCCAGTGTGTCTATGACTTAGAGGCCCAGTGCATGAATTCATGCACAGGTGGGGTCTGGCTGGCCCGATCCTGATTGGGGCTGATCTGGGCCGGACCAGGTGGGGGGAAGGGACGCAGGAGGTTGGCCGGCTGGCCCACTGCCTGGTCAAATTTCCAGTCAAGGGGACAATTAGCATATTAGGCTTTTATTGTATAGGATTATACCCCAAATGAGAAATTACACCACAGGCTGGGGTACAGACTATCTTATGAATGACTAAATTCTTTTACCCCACGGACTGGGTTACACAGACAATCTACAGACAGACTGTTTATGGAAAGGTGCTCCGTAAACCCATCAGCTAATACCAGGGGAACGACGGCCAATCTGAAGCTTCGGAATGGCTGCCCATGCATCAAAGAGAAGCCAGCACTTGCGGACACAGCCACAGTCCTCCCAGCACAGCTGAGACAGCTGAGCCTCTCTGGTGCCACCTAGGCTTGTCCAAGGCAGTTCTCCCATTTTAGCTAATACCCTGCGAGCAAAAGGTCACAGCACCTTCCCACAATTCCTAGCCAGTTCTGTCAGTTGTAAGATTTTCTTTGACAAATCGGTTCAAGGAAAGAGGTAGATTTCAAAATGTATTCATTCAACAAACTTTATAGATTTTATTAGATGTTGGATAGACAAATGTCACTATGGGCAGGACCCCATTCAGTTCTAGGAATAGAAACGTGAATAAACCCCCGTGCCTGCTGTGACGTTATCTCCTGGAAAATAATAGACAAATAAGTGACTGGGACAGTACAGGTTGGTGGGTGTCACATTGACCCAAAGGCTCCTGCGCCTCCTTATACCTTGTCTTTCTTGGTTCCTTTCCCCCTCGTTCCCTGGTTTTCCTCCTCCCTCTCAATCCTTCCTCCTGGCCTCAGTGTCCCTGGCCCACCTCTTCACCTGCTTTATCCTGACAGTCTCATCCATGCTGGTGGTTCAACCTCCTCGTCCCCTCTGGAGACCCCCAATCTCTATCTCAAGTTTGGTTTTGACTTCCACTCCATTCTGAAGCACTCACCTGCCATTTACATAATTCTCCTCAAATTTCCCACTGACACCTCAACTTCAAACCTTAAAAAATAATAATGACAGAGTGGAACATGGAGTGGCGGTGCCTTTGATTTTCTTAGCCATATTTTCTTAACCAAATCCTAGCAAACACTGATGCATTTTCCTCCATCAAAATTAATATCACACCGTAAACAAACTTAAAAAATAAACAAGTAACTAAAGAAGATACCAGTGACAAAAAAGTAAAGGCTTGGCTATAAAATTTTTTTAAACTCCTACAAATCCAAAAGAAAAATGTAGCCCAACAGACTAATGGGGAAAAGATAAAAACAAATGATTCAGTGCCCTCACTCACGGTTAGAGAACACAAGTTAAAGCAGTGATGTATCAGTTTTCACTCATAAAACTGATCAAGTGTTGATGAGAGTGTAGGAGAGAGAACACTTGTCCACTGTACAGTCAGAACAGCCACATGGAGGGCAGTTTGACAGTAACTATCAAAATAAAAGCATACACCCTAGGACCCAGCAATCCCACTTCTTGGCAACCATTCCTAGTGGGAAGAAATCGCACTGATTGACAAAGATGTAGAAGTACATTCATCGCAGCAGCATTTGTTAGAAATCTGGGACAAAATTTAAAATCCACCAATGGGCTCTCTGGGTTACTCTATTCCATGGAATGCTATGCAACAGTCAGTAACTTCATATGCACTGACTTAGCAGAACTTCTAAAATATCAGCTGTGTGAGGGAAAATCCAAGTGACAGAGTAGTAAATATTAAGTTACACATCTCAAGGCGATGCTATCCATTTTCCCCAGGTAAGTATGCACATGCACAGAACACCCGTGAGAGGACACACGCCACACTGGTAGCCGTGCTGACACCGAGAGGCGGGCTGGCGTTGGGGCTGGTGGCCAACGGGGGCATCAGCCTCATCTCTATGTTTCACTTTGTTTTTGTATCACAAACGCAATACACCATGTCTTGTGCAATTTAAAAATTAACATTTTAATAATATATCAACGTC